ATCAACAAACCGGAAACACAACCGAAGATGCTCGTCCAGCAGTGGACGATCCTCTGCTTTCCGAAGTCTTGCTTTACCCGCATGTTGCCTAAGTCGACCCGCAATGCTGTCGCAGTAATTATGGTCTATACCAGTTGCATATGTGAATGTGAAAATTGCGTGCTGTTACGGAATATGAAATGACCGGATGGACGAGTCATCGCTACAACTCTTTCAGAAGTTCCACAGGATAGATTACTAGCAATGCTAACCTCAACTCTGCGAAGCTTCGAATCGATTCGGCAACACGCATTTCTCGTATTTGCATATCACATTAGTACACACTGTACGAAGCCCCCCAATAGTACTCTCTAGAGTCGGCCGAATCACCGCTCGACGGAGGTATGGCAAGAAGGCGCGATGAGAAGGCACACGCGACGTTGCGTGAGTCTGAGGGTGATGATGAACAGTCACATCCCGTCCCAATCAATGCATGACATTCCTACTGTCTAGCGTGAATTTGGTAAAGACAATGCCAGTAAGAGCAGTGTGCATTATCATACCCAAGATAGATATGATAGTAACACCAACGTTGGTGTCGAAACACAGAGGCTCCTTACCACCGTAACCAATGGTGAATAAGGTCTGTACCTGAGGAATTGCAACACTATGGAATTCAATCATCCGTCTCAAATACCTACAACGAAGAAATAATAGTCTGAGAAGCTGTTGACACTACTCGCACAGACGTAGTGCGGATCGATGAGCTGCAGGCCAACTGCGTCAACACCTACAGTTAGAACGTATCTGAGGAAGGATTCTACGTCCATGGTTCAGCGATTTCTGAGGGACCGACTACGTGATTGTTATATAGAGGAAGAGTTTCTTATACGGCAGTCTGATGATGGAAGCAAATGCATCGTAGAACCAGTTGAGATACAGCTGAGTTGAGTGAAAAGTAAAGCAGATAGTGCACTGGGGAAATCCACCTTGGTGCCACGAGGGATCAGCCTGTGGACGTTGACCTCACCGCGAGACGATATGATACTCCTGCGACCACCGCGCGTGAAGACTCTCATGTCGAACCAAGAACTATGCCTAACACAGAGGGACTGGCGTAGCGAGCATGGGCAACACCGAAATTTCAAGCAACTCCTGAAACAAGGGCTATGACTATTTCCTTTGACCCACCAAGATCACCAAAAAGATCTTCTTCCACGAAAAGCATCGGAACTTGTTATACAAAGACGACTTTCGACACACAGATAAGCTGTGTTTAACAACACGTTTAACGTGACAGATCCTCGAAACAGTGCCCTCCTTTGACCCCCCATGAGCCCTTCTGAGCTTCAGTACTTGCCACTATTGACATCGGAGTCATCCCACAACGGAGCCGAGGAAGAGCGCCGTCCACAGTGGTGACTGCAGTGCAGCCGCGTGCCTACTATGAGAATGCGGTGAGTCTACGAGCTCCCTAGCAACCTTACTGCGTCGAATCTTTTCCTATTGTAAGATGCAGCCCGTGGTAACCTATCAAACCTTTTTCTCGTATCTGACCTAGAAACCTCTCTCACGACAAGAACCACCAGCCCTGACTTCGATGTTCTCATAGTGGTCCCCACTGCTACCTCCGATGGACCCGAGGAGAGCCTTTTCGACTTCATCCTTTCTTAGCGACGATGATGTCACAGCATAGCTCATTGGAATCAATACCTCATTACGACTAGGGTACTATGAACCACATTCTTTATACATAACGGTAATCTCTTCTTACTAGGTTTCTCGGACGAGGGAAGAGGGGATACGGCCTTCTAGACCTACTTTACCCCTTGTTGTGTATTGTTTCCGTTTGTCACCTATTGACTTGAGTTTGTTAGTAGTGGTCCATACAATAATAATGAAGCAACACGAAATTCCCATGATGCAGAGGTTGGGGGTGTGAACCGTGAATGGCTCAGCTCTGACCTGTGAAATCTTCATTTATGTCAGAGCCAGCAACCAGGCAGTAACCTGTGTCTGCTGCCAACTATGAGTTGGTGGCCAACACGGTTCAGTAGGACACAAGAGCTGCCCGACTCCATACCCGGTCCGGGTCGAGTCAGCAGTCTCTAGTATCCTACCTCCACATCCAGGGAGCGGGGGGCTGGGTCGAGCTCGCGTCCGCCATTATTACAACTGTGAGCACATGTGTGCCTTATTGCTAGCATCTCACTAGCTTTAGCATTGAACCACGCTGGACTACCGCAATTGTGGTTATTTTTGAGCACACACGAGTGTATTTTGTGTGCATAGGCTCTGCGTGGTAATTTCGCTCACGCCGATCCTCCTGCGTAGGATTGCTACCACGAATCGTGGTCCACGATTTGTCGTGCTCGAGTATGCGATTTCGATGGCGCGCGCTTTTGTCGGCGCAGTTTGGGTCGGCACGCATACGGTCGCATGATAGGGTTGAACCTGAGTTTTGCGGGAAGTATTGCATCCCTCAAGCCATTACCCTTACTAAACTAGTATAGTAATGATCCTGCGGTCGGCTCTCTTCATGTGGGCTTGCTTAGTCATCGGCAATGCAGAAGAGGTGAGTGAAGGACGTATCCTGAGGTCCACCGCGAAAGATGCAAAAGAGGTCAGGAAAAAACATTTGCGACAAACTTGGTGGTTCTCAGGACGTTGAGGACGATACCGTCTCACCCAACTGAGGATATCTGCGATTCAGCACGCCAGAGCTCCCGCCGCAAGTCGCAATCTGTTCGGAATAGACTGTTCCAAAGACCGTCAAACTGGCCTTATCTTCGATGAATCTCCCCTGGCAGGTCAGGCTAGGCTCAGACATGCATAGTTGTCTATCGTGGCCAGACAACCTTCATCAGGTCACTTTGAAGGAGATGGAACCATGTCGGACGTGTTG